TCTGGGTAGCCCTGGTTCCTTCTTCCGTGGCCCACGATGAATCCACGATGACTACTACGAATCTACCCTGGTCACAGGCCAGCCAAATCACAGTCCCACTGGGTGCTTCGTCGTGATGGCCTTCAACCACAATCCAGCCTGTAACTGGCAGGTACCGATCGGCCTCGCTGTTTAGGCCACTCCACGACTGATACTAGGGTTGCGAGCCCTAGGCAGGAGCCTCGTGTGACTCGCTGGTCACTCTCCTCATTCACCACCACAGTGGGTAGTCTCTTCCTCCAGCCAACCCCGGATAAGGCGATTCCCGACACTGCCACTCCTCAGGCAGGCTATTATACTCTCAACAGAGTTCGTCCGGGGGCGGTTCATAGCTTCTTCAAAGCAGACTGGTGAAGAGACCTTGGCTGCCTTGGGTAGACTGGTCCATCGTCCAACACAGCAGTCCTAGGTCGACTCTGAAACCAGACACGTCATCAGTACTGGGGACACTACCTAGGACCACAAGGAAACCTCACTTACTAGCTTAGACAGAAACGTCCACCTCTTCACTCCATAGATGGCGTTCACTGTCTAAGCACTACCCCACCAGAGGTCAGCAGTGGCTACTCCACGAGCCAATTAAGACGGGAATCCAGCGCCTATTGCCGGCATATCCTGTCACCACTAGATGGCGTCGTCCATTTGGAGGGGGTTTCGGGAGCGGACTCACAGATGGCGTTGTTGTCACTGCTCCGTGCTCAGACGATGGACTCAGGTCCGTAACAAAGTGCTGCTGGTTTTTTAAGGAGCTGGGTTCCAAGCTAATTGAGACAACTAGAGACCCCTAGAGCCGCCAGTTTCCTCTTTCAGCGCCTTAATGTGGCGATCCAGAGAGGAAATGCTCACTGTATCCATGATTCCTGCCCGCCATCTGAGGAGCTGGAAGACCTCTACAGCCTAACAAGAAGCCTTGTACCTTGCATGTAACCAATGTTGTAACCCTTTTTATGTAATGAAATGTTAAAATAAAGTGAGAGATATATATACATATACAAAAAGAATAGGGGGTGGTAGGAGAAGAAAACATTACAGTGTTCAGTGAGGATCGACAAGGTCTTCTCTGCGTACTCTTTATTTTCATCTCCGAGGCTATGGGTCCCTTCAATTGCACCAGAGGTAGTACCCTTTATATATATATATATATATATATATATATATATATATATATATATATATATATATATATATATGTCGTACCTAGTAGCCAGAACGCACTTCTCAGCCTACTATGCAAGGCCCGATTTGCCTAATAAGCCAAGTTTTCATGAATTAATTGTTTTTCGACTACCTAACCTACCTAACCTAACATAACGTAACTTTTTCGGCTACCTAACCTAACCTAACCTATAAAGTTAGGTTAGGTTAGGTTAGGTAGGGTTGGTTAGGTTCGGTCATATATCTACGTTAATTTTAACTCCAATAAAAAAAATCGACCTCATACATAATGAAATGGGTAGCTTTATCATTTCATAAGAAAAAAATTAGAGAAAATATATTACTTCAGGAAAACTTGGCTTATTAGGCAAATCGGGCCTTGCATAGTAGGCTGACAAGTGCATTCTGGCTATTAGGTACGACATATATATATATATATATATATATATATATATATATATATATATATATATATATATATATATATATATATATATATATATATATATATATATATATATATATATATATATATATATATATATATATATATATATATATATATATATATATATATATATATATATATATGTCGTACCTAGTAGCCAGAACGCACTTGTCAGCCTACTATGCAAGGCCCGATTTGCCTAATAAGCCAAGTTTTCATGATTTAATTGTTTTTCGACTACCTAACCTACCTAACCTAACCTAACCTAACTTTTTTGGCTACCTAACCTAACCTATAAAGATAGGTTAGGTTAGGTTAGGTTAGGTAGGGTTGGTTAGGTTCGGTCATATATCTACGTTAATTTTATCTCCAATAAAAAGCAATTGACCTCATACATAATGAAATGGGTAGCTTTATCATTTCATAAGAAAAAAATTAGAGAAAATATATTAATTCAGGAAAACTTGACTTATTAGGCAAATCAGGCCTTGCATAGTAGGCTGAGAAGTGAGTTCTGGCTACTAGGTACGACATATATATATATATATATATATATATGTCGTACCTAGTAGCCAGAACGCACTTCTGAGCCTACTATGCAAGGCCCGATTTGCCTAATAAGCCAAGTTTTCCTGAATTAATATATTTTCTCTAATTTTTTTCTTATGAAATGATAAAGCTACCCATTTCATTATGTATAAGGTCAATTTTTTATTTGAGTTAAAATTAACTTAGATATATGACCGAACCTAACCAACCCTACCCAACCTAACCTAACCTATCTTTAAAGGTTAGGTTAGGTTAGGTAGCCGAAAAAGTTAGGTTAGGTTAGGTTAGGTAGGTTAGGTAGTCGAAAAACAATTAATTCATGAAAACTTGGCTTATTAGGCAAATCGGGCCTTGCATAGTAGGCTGAGAAGTGCGTTCTGGCTACTAGGTACGACATATATATATATATATATATATATATATATATATATATATATATATATATATATATATATATATATATTTATATATATATATATGAAATTTTAAAATAAAGTGATATATATATATTAGTACAGTATTACATTCTTTGGGCAAAGTGTTTGAACCTCATAACAATCGTCTCTATAATTACATTATCACACATCAAAACAGTTGGATGTGGTACACCACTAATTTCTTTATTGCTATAGTGATCAAGCAATTTTCACTCTAATACATAATGATCTAAGATGTAAGCGTGCGACATACTACATAATTTACTTTCCTTATCTTTTTCACCAACATCAGCACCGTATTGCCAGTAATATTTATAGTCAAGATTACTGTGTTACTGAAGATTGGAATATGTAGACGCCCTTCCCTGGTCTCACTCACCGCTGGAATTCGAGATAACGGGACACAACGCCTGGAGGAGTCGCCAGCGTCGACCTGGTGGATGGAGGGCCCAGTGGAGGAGGACCTTTTGCTGGAAGTTGGGTACACTTAGGCGACCTTCTGCAGGTGCCTGAGTACACTTAAACGGTCTCCTGCAAGTGGCTACATGGATATACTTAAGTATCTCATATTGCAAGATCTGCAACAAAACTCGTCAGTACAGTGAAATCGCCAAGCAACCAAGTACTTAACGAAAGAAAAAAAGAACTTTTTAAGTAACTGATCACTACAACATTCACCAAAATTAATTGTGTTCGCCTTCACGTCAGACTTCCTGCTACAGATCGGCTCAAGCCAAGTTCATCTAAGTAGTAAGTCAGGTTTGCCAGGCGGCCGAACACACACGTCTTTGTATACAACTTATTTTTTGTAACCCTCGACACAGATATCGGCTGCAAGCTAATATATTTTATTTTGAGGTAAATGCGTATTAGGTGTCATAGAGTTTGTTTAGTTAAGAATCCAACCAATTATTTACTGATTATACCCTGTTAAATACAAACAGATCAAGTGATTCAATTATCTTGTGCCCCACCTCCCCATTTCTCCCTCATCTCGTCTCTCCTCCTCCCACCTCCCTACTCTGGCCTTAAAATGGTTTCCATTCCCATATATCTCTATTATTATTATTATTATTATTATTATTATTATTATTATTATTATTATTATTATTATTATTATTATTATTATTAACATCTTTATTGACAAAATACACAATTTTGCATAATCTGAGTAATTCAGTTAGGTCTTATTACAGTGAGGTGCTGATTGTATCCACTGACACACAGGACAGAGGTTAATACACAAGACAATAGCTCTAAATTGTAGACTACAGCACAAAAATGGTTCATAAAGTTACATTCCACTACATCAGATGTTATGCATGCTTCAGTTTATGAATTTGAACTGCAACCACACAAGGCAGGGATAGATACATAAGAAAAATGGATTCAAATAGATGCAGCTTAAGAAAAAGAAAGAAAAAATCATTCTTTAATATGGAGAAGCAAAATTTGAATAAATGGTTAAAATGTCTTCCAATATTCCAGATTCAATAAAATAGTTACGTTGTTGATTTTACAATAGGCCAGGAGGCCTAAAATCTTTTATAGTTTCGCATTCAATAAGGTAGTGTTCAAGTAAATGCCTTAAAGGTTTGTCATAGAGTTACAAGCTGAATATTCTGATAGTGGCTCAGCCTCACTAACCTGCCAGATGTGCCTATAGTCAAGGCGAATTCCCGCAATTGCTACATCGCAATTTCTTATCCGATTACTGTGCTGACCATACAAATATCTATTATTACAAAACTTGTAATACTGCAGTTTTCAGATAACCCATCACAATTTGGGCATTTATTAATTCTTATAAATCTGAAGTAATCACGTTAATTTGTATGCTTTTAATAATTGCGTTAGATAGTTCAAATGTATAGTCTGTGCTTTATTTCCTGCAAGCTTCATTGGCCAATCGATCCACACAGTCATACCTTTCAACTCCAACATGGGATGGAATCCACACAAATTTTATACAAAAGTTATTATCATTGGCCAAAATCACATGCCATACAATATTACAGGCTACTTCAGACAGTAATTGTGATGGGTTATCTAAAAACTTCAAAGTACTTTTAGCGTTACAGAATACCACTCCACCCCATTGAGTTTATGGTAATCAGCGGCTTCATAAATATCTAATAACACAAATGGTGTTGTATGAAGCCGCTGAAGTTCAATCTTTGCATACTACACATGACTGATGATTGAGTGATGAAGATTAAGCCACCCAAGAGGTGGCACGGGCATGAATAGCCCGTAACGATACACATGTTTGTTGTCGTTTTAGATTCAGCTACTCGGAACAAAAAGTTCCAAGCAGCACGGGCCATGGTGAGCCCGTAGTGAACTTACCTGGCACAGGAGCGAGGCTGTAACTGTGCACACACATACACATGATTGATGGATTGACTGATAAAGATTAACCCACCCAAATGGTGGCACGGGTATGAATAGCCCGTAAGTGGAGGCCCTTTGGAGCCATTACCAGTATTAATAGCTGGTACTGGGGATCTGTGGATGGATGGGGTCTTCATGGTCGCTCGCAGTTTATGGCCCGCAGGAGGCTTAGTCGCCAGGTTGCAGTTTATGGCCAGCAGGAGGCTTAGTCGCCAGGTTGCAGTTTAATGTGCAAAGCGACGCTTTATATCTGAACAGAGCAACCTCGGTAGTTTGGTACCATCAGGATCGTCGTCCTTTTCGAGGAATTGCATTTGTCCGTCTGGGAATTTACGGTGGAATTCTGGGTCGGGGTATTCTTTTTTCAGTATTGTGAGATCAGTGTAAGAGTTCATGATGTGGGCGTGGACATACTTGGGGTGCGGGTATTTGTTCTGGCTGATTATCTTGTTACATCTGTGGGCCAATTTTCGTCTGGTGTGGGCGTTGCCATTGAACTCGCTGGGCGGAATGAACAGCACATGGCAAGTACTTTTGTTTTCGTCGTCGTCTTCGTCGTCGGTCGCAAGGCCGTTCTCGTCGACGTCGGTGGCGGCTCTGGAGAGCCTCTTGGTGTTGGTTGTGGGAGTTTCGGGTGGTCGTTGTCGTCATTGGATGTGGTGTCTTCGTTGGCAGGAGTAGCCAGGGCCGGGCTGGCTGCAGGTGGAGCTGGAAGAAGGTCCCCTGGTACCATCACCGTCGGAAGTCCATTTGCGGTGAGCAGCCTATTGATGGTGTGGACGTATAGGTTGACATCGTTGCCAGCCAATTTGTCGGCGAGGTGTAGAAGTACCGGTAGGAGGGTGTTGTTGGTGGTAACTGCAGGCTTGGGTCGTGATTGTTAGGGCTGCGGAGGTGAGCTCGAAGGTGAGGGATCAAGCAGTGGTGTGGTGGTGTGGTAGCAGCAGCTTCCACGGTGTTCTCGTGCAAGGCCGGGAAAGCGGGCGTAGCCGGTTTGGCTAGCTGAGTTGAGGTGGTGCTTACCGTCATCTGTTTTATTTCCTCCTGCCGGTAGAGACAGTCAGATGAAACTGCAGTGTGCGGGCCATTGCAGAGTAGGCAGCGTCGGCGGTAGGAAGTGCAGGCTGTGTAGTGATGCTCATGGGCGCAGATACTGCATTTCTGTCACTTGCTCGGTGCACTTACTGATGTAGTGGGAGTACCAGTAGCATTTAAAGCATTGGCGGAGCTCCGTGTATCGTTCCTTGGCCACGTGGGCAGGTGGAATCGTAATTCCGGCGCACTTAAGACCGTGTTCTTTTGCGTGGGTCGCTGCGATGACCGTGCTGAAGGTCACTTTCTCTGTGGGTCTGCGGGTGTTGTTGGTGCTGATCTTGGCCACTACCGCGGTCAGGGTCGGGTTCAAGGAATTGATGCTGGCAAGGATGTCGTCGTCGCGGAGATCCATGCGCTGATGTGTCTGGCAAACACAGTCCTGTCCGCCAGGTAGCGTCTAGGAGGAGTGAGGGTGAGGCCGGCGTCTATAGCAGGGTGGTCGTGGTGGAGGCGGCGAATAGCTTCTCCAGGTCGTTGTCGCTGGAGAAGAGAAGGTGAACACCTTCTCTGGTCTCCAGGATGTCAGCTGGTGAGACATTGCCGATGGTAGAGACCTTTTCTAAGATGTCAGTCGTTGTGAGAATGAGGTCCTCTCGTAGGCGAACCTTGACTCTGTGCAACATGGCGCAGGTACCATAGATGCTTCGGTCTGTGCGTCTTTGTCTCAACTCAGTCCTCACCTGGGGTGTGATATGAATGTGTGGGTACACATGATCATTTAATTTGCTTTATATACTGCACATGCACAACCTGCTCTACCTGTGCTCAATTACGTCTGTTTGAGGGTTGAGGACGGGCTGAAATATCGCCACTTTCCTCTCGTATGTGTGGCTTAGGCTGTTTGTATGCTGTTATATCATGCCTTTATACTGTGACCAAAACATTGGGTTGTAAGTGACTGCCTGATTGTTTACCCATTTTAATTCAAGTGTAACTATGCGTTGTACTAACGTAACGTAAATGTATAGAATATAAACACCTATCGCTCCCATTACAATCAACATGATAATGGTCCAAGACGGACCGAAACGTCGTCGTCTCCTCATCTTCTGGTGTGGGGTTTAGTTTTCATATCGTCAGCCACGTTATTGTGACTCATCGTCTGCACAACTATAGAATTACAAAACTCAATGTTTTTTTTTTAACAAATAAACAAAAATCAGCCATGTGTTGATTATGTGGGCTTGCGGTTTCCAAAGACAAACAGCCCCGTGTATCAAACACTCACTTAGGAAGGCTGGCTCTAGGCCAGGCTGCAATAAAACTACCGAAATCGTCTGCAGGTAAACACTGTGGGAAGTAGAGAAACACACGGTTGAACGGGAGTCGGTCGTCGCGTCGCCTCCAGGAAACCCCGGCTGGAGGAGGTTGTGAGAGGACGGGTTGACCTCCCGCCAAGTGTGATGCTTACAAGAGTCGTGTTGTGCCGGCACCCCGGCCCCAGGCTGTCTTCACCCCATCCTCAGCTGTGGGGGCCACCATCCTCAGCTGTGGGGGCCACCATCCTCAGCTGTGGGGGCCACCATCCTCAGCTGTGGGGGCCACCATCCTCAGCTGTGGGGCCACCATTCTCAACTGGGGGGCCACCATCCTCAGCTGTAGGGGCCACCATCCTTATGCAGGTGATGAGTCACAATAACGTGGCTGAAGTATGTTGACCAGACCACACACTAGAAGTTGAAGGGACGACGACGTTTCGGTCCGTCCTGGACCATTCTCAAGTCGATTTGTGTCGAAACGTCGTCGTCCCTTCAACTTCTAGTGTGTGGTCTGGTCAGCCACCATCCTTAGCTGTGGGGGCCACCATCCTCAGCTGTAGGTGCCACCATCCTCAGCTGTAGGGGCCACCATCCTTAGCTGTGGGGGGCCACCATCCTCAGCTGTGGGGGGCCACCATCCTCAGCTGTAGGGGCCACCATCCTCAGCTGTGGGGGGCCACCATCCTCAGCTGTGGGGGGCCACCATCCTCAGCTGTAGGTGCCACCATCCTCAGCTGTAGGGGCCACCATCCTCAGCTGTAGGGGCCACCATCCTCAGCTGTAGGGCCACCATCCTCAGCTGTAGGGGCCACCATTCTCAGCTGTAGGGGCCACCATCCTCAGCTGTAGAGGCCACCATCCTCAGCTGTAGGGGCCACCATCCTCAGCTTGGGGTCAGGCATCTGGAAGCTTGTAGAGAACCCGATCACTTCCAGGACTCACAAAACATTTTGTTCTTCTATTTCTCAGCTGTTACATTATTATTTTATATTTTGCCAACTTCCTCGAGGGTCTCTTCTACTTCATATTGCTGTAGACTCTGTCTTGCATTAGACACATCTTCAGCAATGTGACTAGAAATTTTGTTAATAATTTGTATTATTGTTATTATTTTATTAATATTATGATTTTATATTGCATTTATTACGTATTTAATGTTCTCAGTGTTATTATTATGGACTTTGATATGGTATGACAGGGTCAGCCGATGAACCAAGAGACGAGACTGTCCCAAGTTGTCTGCAGCGGCCGCCACACACTTGATGCTGGGGTTGGTCTCCCGCGGCGCCGTTGTTCTGGAGAGCTTCCAGACCTGGCTGGCAGGACACGACCCAGGCAGCACGCCAGCTCCGGCTTCTCACACTCTAGGCTGGTCTTGATCTCGACTTCAGGAAGATCACCAAAAAGAGACCAAGAGTTGATGCAGTCTTCTCGAGTCATGCACGAGCAAGCTGCCGTCTTTGGCCTTCTCTGAGAGTCTTCATTCCTGGGTGGACGAAGCACATCACTGGGGTGTTTTTCCGCGTCTTGTGTGGTGGTTAAGATAGTTGTTAAGGGTGTCTTTGAAGTGCTGACTTCTGAAATGATGGCTTGAGGATTAGATGAGTCGGTATCTCTTACTTTTCCACTTTGGAGCCCCGGACCTCCAGATACCACAAATGTTCTGTTGAAGTCAGATGGCAGCCAGAATGCTTTATCGCTGCCTTGGTCATCTGCGGTTTCTCTGGAGCTTTTTAATTTTGTGTCGTATCGTTGACGCTGAACTGGGATGTTCATGAGCCGTGGACTGACACTACCAGAGTGACCCTGACGCTCGGTAGGTACTGTCACCGGGGCGTGGCTGACGTTGCTTGAGAGTTGCTGACGTTCGGCAGAACCGGTGGACGAGTTGTTGAACAGGTTACGAAGAATCTTGCGCCAGCAGCAGTACCGCGTCTGCCACGGACACGGCAGCCCCTGAAGAAACACAAAATTAATATTAAAATATTAATATTTTTTATTTTATTGACAGTATAATATTTCAGAGAGAAGAGCACTTCTTCATACACTGCACATGTATGGCCCCTTTTCTTTGAGACTGTCACTCGGTGCAAGACAATTATAAAGTTAATATTAGCGAATTGACAAGTAAGAACAACTGTGAAACATTTCCCGTAAGTGTGCATGTTGCAGAAATGATTGGTGCAACACAAGATCCCAGGAGAGTTGAAAAGTCTTGCAAGACGATTATTTAGCATCGCGTTTATGTGATCCTCTCTCACATAACTCTTAAACTTAAACTCTAACTCTTAAACTCACGCCCAGAAACTAAAAAATTTAAAAGTGGCTAAGCGTGAACTTTTAACTAAGCCATAACACCCTCATGATAAGGAAAAAACGTGGGGAGCAAAATTAGTGAAAGTCCTAGTAGCCAGAACGCACTTCTCAGCTTACTATGCAAGGCCCGATTTGCCTAATGAGCCAAGTTCTCATGAATTAATTGTTTTTCGACTACCTAACCTAACCTGACCTAACTTTTTCGGCTACCTAACCTAACCTAACCTATAAAGATAGGTTAGGTTAGGTTCGGTCATATATCTACGTTAATTTTAACTCCAATAAAAAAAAATTACCTCATACATAATGAAATGGGTAGCTTTATCATTTCATAAGAAAAAAATTAGAGAAAATATATTATTTATAAAATTATAAATTATAAAATAAAATTATAAAATATATTATTATAAAATTAGAGAATATATATATATATATATATATATATATATATATATATATATATATATATATATATATATATATATATATATATATATATATATATATATAGGCTTCCTGTCCCCAACAAGTGGAATTATATGAGGTTGATGCTTCCTTACTCTGGTCTTCAAGGTGGACTTCTCCGTGATCTCGAGAGGACACGGGGAGGAGGCGAGGACGCAGGAGCAGGAGGCCTCGTCCACCACACTGAACATTCCCACTACCTTCGAGAACGGGTAGGACGACCTGCAACACACACACCATCATGGTACAATGTATGGTGAGATGCTGGCTATGGTGAAAGGTGGTGATGATCACGGTGGTGGTGATGGTGAGGAAGATGGTAATTGTGGCTTTGGAATCCTTATATGTCGTGGCCTAGCTTTTATATACAATTTAATATATTATACAAGCATTCAGAAAGATTCTTCTGAAGCATCCTTCTGAAGATGTGTTATTAAATACGAAAGTACTTAAGGAAATTCCTGACGTTAATCTTTCATTCGTGGTCTGACATTGTCATATATATATATATATATATATATATATATATATATATATATATATATATATATATATATATATATATATATATATATATATATATATATATATATATATATATATATATACATGAATGTATTTCAGGTATGTATTATGTAAGTATACATGCTTTGATTGCATGTATGGGTGTCGAAATCTGAACCGTCAAATAACAGCGCTTACGTTTTAAAATATCGTAATGTTGTATTGCATGTGAAATTTCCTAGTGACGAGGTCACGTCACAGTGAGCGCCTAACTGACAGCCATCACGTCAGTGACGAGGCTATTTTCAACACGTAATTAAGAGTCTGAGACCTGCTCGGGGTGACCTTCAAACTTATCATTGAGATATAAGCACACAGAGATGAGGTAACTCAAGCTATTCAATACATGTTCATATATTTACACACATCACAAACACTCGCCATATTGCTTCATACTCATGGTGAGGCGGTGCCCTGCGATCCGTGGTAGCCTCTGCGGGCTACAACACACTGAAGTCACTATTTACCAGCACCAATCTCGTGAGGTTCACCTACATAAAATGACCTATGACCTTTAATAATATTCTCTCCTACCGTGACACTACGTACGGCGATTCGGTCACATACTTGCAAAAATATACTGCGCCACCCCCCGCTCCCCCCCCCCACCCCCCGCCAACAAAAAAATATACATGCTTTATATTATTGGTGTTTGTAAAGGGCCCGAGAAACGGACCAGATTCACGAATCAGTTACGCAAGTATTTACGAAAGTGTACATCTTTCCTCAATCTTAGACGGCTTTGGATACATTTATTAAACAGTCTACAAACATGAAAACTTCCCAATCAATTGTTGTTATTGTTATAAACAGTCTCCTGCTGGTGCTTAGGAGGCTGTTAACTGTTTAATAATTTAAAACAATGCCGCCAAAGATTGAGAGAAGATGTTCAGGTTCGTAAGTTCTTGCGTAACTGCTTCGTGAATTTGGCCCCAGGCATCTACCTAACCTTACCTCTCTTAAGTACATATGTATACTATTAGGCCTAGGAGAGTTTAGGTTAGACTGTTGCATTTCTTAAATACTTTTAGAACACCAATAATAGAAAACGTGGACATTTATTTATATAATTATATTTAGAAATAAGTTGGCTTATATAACCCGTCCTAACTGTATACTTCAGTCCTGAATATAGCTCAAGACCAGAGTAAACTCTCAGGTATATAGGCAACACTGAGATATATTTTTTGACTGAATAAATGTATTTTAATACAATATATATATATATATATATATATATATATATATATATATATATATATATATATATATATATATATATATATATATATATATATATATATATATATATATATATATATATATATATATATATTAGCTCGTGTAGTCTTTTCATCTCAGGTAAAAGTAAATTAAAGAGCACTGCATCCTAAATAAAAAATTGATACATGTTTTATACATTGGACGTCACTGACACACTACATATATTATACCCAATATGTCACTAATTATGCAATTTAAAACATTACTATGAATACGAAAACTTACTAAATCCGATAACGTGTTCATTATATTTGTGCTTGGCCACAAAATTGTGTAATCCATTTAATATACAACACAAAGAAATAATTCAAGATTTGAGCATTATATATATATATATATATATATATATATATATATATATATATATATATATATATATATATATATATATATATATATATATATTTTGTGTGTGTGTGACCTACGCTTGAAACATCAATCACACGTATATTAGGTTACCCGGTAATTTGTGCCATAAACAGTCATACTTTGCAAGAAACTTACACGGAGGCGTAGTGCTGGGCTAGGGTCTGGGTCCTGTGCGCGGGCGAGGCGAGGCAGGCAGGCGTCCACCAGGATAACATTCTGCAAAAGTGAGCATCGTAAGTCAACATTCAGAGACTTGTGAAGAAGTAAGTACCCTGGCGTCCGTGCAGTCATGAACAAGATGTTTAGAGTTGCGAAGAAAGATGATTGAATTTCGGCCCTTGGTGAAGCTCTGGAACCGCCGGGTGTGTGTTACGGGTAGATGACTAACCATCCTGCGAGATGCGGACTTTTGGTATCACTTCTACCTTATTCACTCTTGTGTTGATGATATCCTCATAACAAACCCAGTCTGTCAGTGCAGGTTACTGATCACATGCCTCTGTATGACTAACCATCGTGTGTGATGGGGATTTTTTAGCATCACGTAGCTAGCTTTTTGACACTGCATGTACTCCCTTTCATATAGTCTAGGGCAGCTGCACAAATGCACATGTACCTAATGTATTAATACAAAAAAGAGACGTGTTACAAGCACTATTTCAAGCGTCATCTGGTAGTCCTGTTACGCGCGCCGTCTGGTTGATACTGGAGAGATAAGTGAGAACCTAACACCGCCCTGTAACAGTTTTCTTCTCAATTACAAGTATTTGTGTAGGTGATTGTATATGTATGTGTAAGTATATATGTATATGTATGTACATGTATGTATGAGTATGTGTACGAGTATATAAAACATTAATAATTGTGTTACTAGGGTCAAAAGATTGTCATTTGGTTAGCTAAACGAACTATTGAGTTCAGTTCCTGAATCAATTATGTGCCCCTGTAACCCTTTACACGGGATGGGTAATGGGGTCCATAAAACAAAAATTGAATTGAGTTACACTCGTGAACGAAGCAGTAAGAGTAATGGACATTCCTCTGAAGTTCTATATATTATAACTGTACGTAGTACTACTTTTTATAATGCTAATGACAGACAACCAAAATAATTTCCCCTGATAGCTGCCTTTGCGCCATAGAACAGCCTTCACACAAGATGAACTTAAATTACGCATTGTTAGATCCACCTAGTTACATTTCTAATCTGAAATTAACCTTGAAACTCTGAAAGTTATATATATATATATATATATATATATATATATATATATATATATATATATATATATATATATATATGTCGTACCTAATAGCCAGAACGCACTTCTATGCCTACTATTCAAGGCCCGATTTGCCTAATAAGCCAAGTTTTCATGAATTAATTGTTTTTCGACTACCTAACCTACCTAACCTAACCTAACCTAACGTTTTCGGCTACCTAACCTAACCTAACCGATAAAGATAGGTTAGGTTAGGTTAGGTAGGGTTGGTTAGGTTCGGTCATATATCTACATTAATTTTAACTCCAATAAAAAAAAATTGACGTCATACGTAATGAAATGGGTAGCTTTATAATTTCATAAGAAAAAAATTAGAGAAAATATACTAATTCATGAAAACTTGGCTTATTAGGCAAATCGGGCCTTGAATAGTAGGCATAGAAGTGCGTTCTGGCTACTAGGTACGACATATATATATATATATATATATATATATATATATATATATATATATATATATATATGTCAGTAGCCAAAACGCAGTACTCGGCCTACTATTCAAGGCCCGAGTTGCCTAATAAGCCAAGTTTTCCTGAATTAACATATTTTTCGATTTTTCTTATGAAATGATAAAGCTATCTATTTCATTATGTATGAGTTAAGTTCTTTTAATTTGAGTTAAAATTTGCATAGATATATGACCGAACCTCACCAACCCTACCTAACCTAACCTATCTTAACCTAACCTAAACTAACATAAATAAATCGATAATTTATGTTTTTAACATAATATAATAACAATATTTCAAATAAACCAATTGGAAACAATATAGTGAAAATAAAGAAAGTCACTCTGCCTATTAGGCAAATCGGGCCTTGCATAGTAGGCCGAGAAGTGCGTTCTGGCTACTAGGTACGACAGTAGTATTTATAGTGACGATGAGGACCATAGTACATATACCTATTTACTATTAGGTAAACAGAGGCATCAGGTGAAAGAAACTGAACATTTGTTTTTGCCTCCGTCGGAAATCGAATCCAAGCTCTTGGGACTATGCTGTACGCTCGACCACTCGGCCGTGTCCATATGTGCTTGTGTATTAAAGTAAGTGCATGTCGAATACCTTAATTAGACTATATGTATATGTATTTACTTCAAGCTGTCTTAATGATTCTTTCCTGAATAACTCTATAATTAGTCTCATACTTGTGTCGCCCTCGAGTATTGTCTGGTGTATGGGGAAATATATTTATAATTGCTCTCCACTTTCTCCACACCATTCACTTTTGTTTATTTATTTTGGCGCCAAATGATACGAGATATATTATTGCTTTAGTGCGTTCGAGTATAATTTACCACAGCTTCAAAGGGTCCTGTAACAGTAGTCTACGTCCTTGGCTCACAACCTAGGGATGCAGGCTCAATCCCCTCCGGCAAAACACATTAAACGGTTGAGCATGTTTCCTTTCACCTCATACCTCTCTTCAGCTAACATTAAAACACGTACCCCGGGAGCTAGGCACCTGTTGTGGGTTGGATTCTGGGGAAAGTCAGTAGTTGGTCTAGGGGAGTTAACCTCGATAAGCCTAACTACAGGCTTTCTGTCCCAGATAACGTTAATAAAACAAATACAAGAACGTGCTCAAAAAATCTCGTTACTGTGTATTTCATGGATATCCTTCATCACATTTTAATCGCATGTTTTACACACACACACACAAAGTATCTCAAGACATTTAAATTTAAATGATATACCCATCATATGGACGGTGGCGAAAAAGGTACAGAATCACAATCTATGGCTTTGGAACTGGACCCCAAAGTTGTTTAACCTAAGCCAGTTACATTGGCCTTGAATTAATTACATTCTATATGTATTTGTCATTCATGCACTCACCATTCATCCCGAGTCCGGCGGAGGAAGGGCTATAGTCGTGCACCGTACAGGAAACACCTACATTTGTATGTTGGTGAGGAGGTCGAGGTAACGGTAAGATGAGGGGTATCCGTCGCCTCCCTACCCTGAGAGCTCCTGCTGGCGACCCACGCTAGCAGGCTCCCATCCACCACATTCCTCACCTCCACTGAGGGCCACATCATCCACCTGATGTAAGCTCTGCACCTGTTGTACACTCTCCACTTGGTGTGTGCTCGCCATCTGATGTACACTCTACTAAATGTGTAGTGTACATCAGATGGCGCATTGATGAGTTATACTCTCCACCTGATGTACGTTCTCTACTCACGTACGCTCATCACCTGGTGCACGTTCTCCACCAGATTTACACTCTTTAATTTATCCTTTAATCATGCTGTTACTGCTCAGGAGGCACATGATATATTGTACATGGACGCAAGGTCGTGGTTGTTACACCTGGCGCGTTCACTCCTCGACGGTAAGTCCTCGGCTGGGTTGCCAGGTTGGGCTACTTATAGCCTAGTTGGGCTCCTTGTAGCCCAATTGAAAAGCCAGCTTTGTATGTCGCTACTTACTACTCTTTTCGGCTACTGTAAGATATGCTGCGCTGTGTACTCTGAAAAGCGAATCAATCGCTAAAGAAATATTTGGCTACTTTTGTAGTAAAATTCGTGACTTTTAGTTTTTCAACTCGCGACTTTCAGCAACTTAAATCTGGCATACGAGGCCCGCGGGATGGGCGTCGTCTGCATGACACGCAAATGCATATAAAAATGCAAATAGTTCAACACCCCTGCAACTTAGCTAGTTTTATTGTGATCTAGTGCCTTAGACTATTATATATACCTTTTCTATCACATTCCACAATATGGTCAAGGGAACTGGGATCCATATCAAAATAATATTATGGTAGATAATATTACTGATAAAGAAGATAATGTTAAAGAAGTTATCCATTCGTTTATTTTACATTTTAGTGTCCGTATTTGCTGAATTTGTTTGGGGTATTACTTGTTATGGAATACCGCTAGGGCACCAGCGCACGACTACTCACTGGACGTACAAATATCACGCACCAAAGTACCAACAGCTGGCCCGTAGCCTAACTGTTATCTGCAGCAGAGAGGACTCCTAATACCGCAGGTGGCCACCACATTTCTGATGTAGGACGCAGAAGAGAATAAGTCTGATATAGGACACGGAGACGTCACCTGGATGCACAGGTGGAACAAAACCCAGAAATATCCCATATAGTATAAAGTATGACTAGTGAGACCAAAACACACACACCACAAATGGACCAGAACACAGACGCCACCCAGCACCACAAATGGACCAGGACACATACACCACACAGCACCACAAGTGGACCAGGACACATACATCACCCAGCACCACAAATGGACCAGGACACATACACCACACATCACCACAAGTGGACCAGAATACAGACGCCACACAGCTCTTGACTCTCCAAAAATCCATCCAGCAGGCAACATTACAGTATATATGATTATTACTCTAAACCTTCATATGAGACTGAAATATACAAGCTACAGAGCTCTTAAGCATCCACGACACTATATTGCTAGGTGTTCTAAATAAGCTTTTCTTGAATTAAAGGAAAATATCAACCTTTTCTATTATAATTTTAATTTTGTTTCTAGCTCACAGTAAAGAAAATACAGGTTCTGTTATAGAGTAATATACTCACCCAAGAAGAAGCCAGCAAGATGTCATCCTGGTACTATGTACAGTAGTGGAGATAATAGTTCTGCGAAGGTTGTCTGTCCCCCACACTAGTAGATAGTGTGGTCTTCCACCATGGACTAAGTGGTAGTCCACTAATGAACGAAGCAAATATAAGGTGATACAGTATTTAAACACTGGAATAGCTGAGAGTTTGAGCTCAGTGCTCAAACACGGACGTAGCGAGGAGGCAGACTGATGGAGGTGCTAGGCGAGGGCCGGGAGCCAGCCGGAGGGGGAACCCACCTCCTCTCCACGCGGGGGTCAAGGATGAACTGAACGTTACTGATGTGTGTATAGAACACGCCCTCCTTCCCAACCACCAGAACAAGTGGCACAAATCCCCTGAACATCACATATAGTATGCAGTATGACCTGTGAGACAGAGGCAGACGTCACACAGCGCCTCCAGTGGACCAGGAACGCAGATGTCACACATCCTCTTTTTCCCAACTACTTATACCATTAATCCCTTCCAAGTGCCACGCTTCCTATCTCTGCCAAAACAACTCCCATAATTCCAACCGCTAATCCTTCCAATCGGCCACGTCCACCTGAACATACGCTCGCTGCACTATAATGACCGTAAAGCAATTATCACCATGAATTGTTTGTATGCGTTCAGCTAGCAGCCCATTCTCCTAAGGTTTCCCAACGCCTTGAGATACGTTTATAACATTTCCTCCTTTTTTTTGCGTTTTCAGGACTAAAGGGTTTAAGATCGTCAGGAGGTGGAGCAGGAATCGCCGAGGATGGAGCCGTCGATGGTCTGGATGCAAGCACGTCGTCCGGAGCGGTGATGTTTGTCAGTCCATTCGTGGTGAAGAGTTCAGTGAAGAACATTTTCTCCCTTCACAATTTAGTGTACCAAGGTCAGAATTTCACAGGACGAATTTCCCATATTTCACAGGCTGCTTAAAGACTCTTAACACATATACCTAGTTCACGGCTTCCACCAGTTTCTTCCTTCCAGCGGCTACTCCCACCTGAACACACATTTGCTACACTGATGACTATAACAATAAAAGTATTACTATGAATTGTTTGCATTCAGACAAAATACTTTGGGTCTGGCCAGCACAACTGAATGAATTGACCATATGGACATATTGTCCAGCTGCTAGACAACATGTTCATAAGGTCACCCATCTAGTTACTGGTTAGACCCAACGTACTTCATTTAGCTGCAACCCATCCTCCAAATAGAGCGCATACGCTATCACCAAAAATTGTCGTACTGAAAAATAGTAACAGCTCACAAAATTGACATTAGTCCCGTTTTCTGTTTTGGGTCCTGTGGTAGGTTAGGATAGGGGACTTTACTACAACAGTTTCTTGATGTTGGGAAACCTTAGGAGGACGAGCTGCTGCTGAGGAGTCCATCCTTGCATTCATTGCAATCTCCCAATGTTGACACCTACACTTCAAGAAATAATTTGCAAACAATTTTTTTTTTCAAACATTTACTTATCCTTTGTAGCGAGTTAATCTTATACTCCATTATCTCATTATCTTAATAGCATAACTAATTACAGAAGCTACAATCCTTTCCCCAATTACAGGTAATACTCTTCTCACCTTGTTGGAGGAAGCTGAGGTGTAATCACCATATAAGCAACGATTTGATGAATAGAAAAAGTACAATCTCCAGTCAAGAATGTAGTAATCGGTGTAGGCAGTTCTAATCGACCTAAGACGCTACAGCTTCGACACAGCAGGCAGCAGACTACGACCTCATCCAGCTACAACGCTCTCCCACATAGAGCTCTGCGACTCCAGCCACACTCAGCTCTCTGCTCAGCTCCAGGCTTCGTCTCAAAGTCTACGACACTGCTGTATCCAGGACTACTAAATAAATATGAAACTCACTAAACACTGTGTATCTAATCAACCCAACAACGTAACACAATCGTACGTTACACCTTGAACCACTTGAAGCTTTGCTAGAAATATCAACTTGATTGTAAGAAAATAATAGTGTGACAATGCATAACAGTGCAGCAGGTCTACAGATATCTTGAGGTTATCTTGAGATGATTTTGGGGCTTTAGTGTCCCCGCAGCCTGGTCCTCAACCAGGCCTCCACCCCCAGGAGGCAGCCCGTGACAGCTGACTAACACCCAGGTACCTATTTTACTGCTAGGTAACAGGGGCATAGGGTGAAAGAAACTCTGCCCATTGTTTCTCGCCGGCGCCCGGGATCGAACCCGGGACCACAGGATCACAAGTCCATTGTGCTGTCCGCTCAGCCAACCAGCTCCCTGATGATAATAATAATGCAGACCTGCTGCACTATTATACATTGTCATTTACTATTTTTTATTTTCTTATAATCAAGTTGATATTTTTAGCAAAGCTTCGAGTGATCAAGTGATATGGATTTTTTTTTTTTTTGGGGGGGGGGGGGGGGGGGGGAAGAGAAAGATTATACTGTTTGTAAATTATTTAACTGTTTGTTTGCAAATTATTATTTTTTATTGTATAAAATACATTTGAAACTTGATAATGGAGTTTCTTAGGTACACAATGTAAACTATATATAGCCATTAATGTGCAGTGTTTTGGGCATATCTTGACGTAATTTAGTAGTATTTATAAGATTAATGGGGTAACAATTAATAATAAACAAGGTAACACATTTGAAACAAATTTTGCAATTAATTTAAATATTTTAAGTGATATTTTTTTTTTTTTTTTTTTTTTTTTGAGATATATACAAGAGTTGTTACATTCTTGTACAGCCACTAGTACGCGTAGCGTTTCGGGCAAGTCCTTAATCCTATGGTCCCTGGAATACGATCCCCTGCCGCGAAGAATCGTTTTTTCATCCAAGTACACATTTTACTGTTGCGTTAAACAGAGGCTACAGTTAAGGAATTGCGCCCAGTAAATCCTCCCCGGCCAGGATACGAACCCATGACATAGCGCTCGCGGAACGCCAGGCGAGTGTCTTACCACTACACCACGGAGACTGCAAACATTTAATGATGAAAGGCATAGACAATATACTTAAATTCTTAAATATATAAAACTGTATATTTGGCAGCAGTATATATAGTTTTTAATGTTCACAACAACTGTAAAATACTGGCCAATATGTAGGATAAGGAAATCTGATTAAAATTGGTTACACAATTTAAATAAATAAGGTACAGTATTTCTCAGCTTTTTTTTTAAACTAGCTGAGGAAAGTGGTTTATAATCTCAGAAAGGGGAAAGAAATAATATAAATAGCCAAGCACTGGAAATCATTAAGGAATTTCTGTCACAAATTACTTGACTAAATCCTGCTTAAATAAAATCACTATTACACGAGATGTTTTTTCAAAGTATGATCGAAGTGGTGATGGTATTAACAATGCCTATCAACCTCTTGCAGGATTATTTAGGATATGACATTAGTACATTGAGTTTAGTCAAGAACAGTCCAGGACTAATGTAAACTGTGTATATACATTAAGAAGTATACCTCGAGTAAATATAGCCATAATTTATTGAGCCAGGCTCTGAATCTTGAAAAAAAAAATGCAAATTTCAATAGATTATTTTATATTTAGTCTATGTAACCCTCATCTTTAAAATGTTATCATTGATATTTATTATTTATCAATGTACATGTCATCTAATTGAAGCATTATTTAAACATGTTTTGAAGCTTAAATCAAAACTAGCAGTATCTTCACTACAGAAGTTAGCTGTCTGAAATTGTCATCTGCCAATGTATCTATTAATGTCATTAGATGCCATTATTTACAATCAGTTATGGACTTTTGGGCCTAAGCCAAGCACTGAAGACCATCTTATTCAAAACCAATTTCACTAAAAATTTGGTTTTAGGCCTCTTCAATATCTTTCATATTTCCAATTTCTACATGTTTAAATCTATTATCTATTTCCCTCTAATCCCTTGTCTTTTTGCTATTCTCTCTCTTGCATTATTGTTTCTCCTGTTTTCTATTCTATATTCCTTAAGATCACCAATTTTAGGTCCAAGGCTCTTAAATAATAATATTCGATAATTGCACTTATTTATATTAATAAATTTTACAATATAATTACTGTACTTTAAAATTCATGACCAGAGTTAAATAAAAATAATCTACATTTTAAATAATTTATTATTATCTAATAGAGCTGCTGAACATTTATTTGAAAAGCTTAGTCTAGATAAAAAAAATTATCCTTTATATAATGACAATGTTTCAGCTGGTAAAAAAATTTAAACATTTGAAAACAATTACTGCATTAACTAATTTATTTACAATAAACATTAAATACAATACAGTACACTGATATAATTTTCCATTTAAAAATTGTAACAGATGTATTTAGTTACATCTTAAAAATCAAACACAGTATCTTTGATAATGAAAATGGTAGCTAACTACCTACCTACAGAAGCAAATGTGTGTACATTTAACCAAATTTTCTACCATTTTTTCCTCAGTCTATCTAAATGGCCACCTTTCTTCTTTCTAAACTTAGGTTTAGATTTTGATTGAACAGTATTCTGGGTGGGAGCAACAGTCAGGGATGACCCACCAGCTGTGGGTGAATCTTTGTCAGATATTTCTAAACGACTGAGAAGCTTGTCTTGCTCTTCAGAGTCCATGTCTTCATCAGCAGGCAATCCAATACGATTGCAGAATCTCGAGCGAACTACAAAAAAACAAAATTATTTGTGTATAGTAAACCACCTAATTGTGGTTCTTCTAGAAACACAGTGGGATAAAACAAAAAGAACAAAAATGAGAAAGCAAAAACAGGAAATGAAACCATGAACTTAATTAAACAGAACAAAGGTAACCAAGAAATGGACCATAATAAAACTGTCTTAGTAATCCGATGAGGTAGTTTTGAATGACCATCATTGCAATGATGCAATGAGAAAAAATATAAATGATACCTAACAATGAAGATGCAAAATATAGTTGTATAATATTAAGAGCAATTACTGACCATATTCTCAGTCTCCTATACCAATACACAGTATATCACAAACTTTTATAACAGATTCTTAAAAATGCCAACTTAATGTAGTCAAAATTCATGTCACTTTCCCTACCCCTCCACTATTCTTCCATTCTCTCTATCATTATGTTACCTTATCCCCTCACCTCCCTCTTAGCACTGCTAAGCTCTCACAACTGTACAGTATACACAAAACAGAATGATGTAAAATAAAAGGTTTCAACCTTTCTCCTCTTCGGTAACAAGTGAGCTCTTTCAGCAAGGACAATGTACCACCAAATTCCAGACTATAATTGACTCAAGACTGAAAACAGTAAAAAATATGCACATCTCCTTTGCCCAAACTGTTTTATTTGAGAAAACTTCCAAGCCCCAGGTAGCACATACAACACCATTTAAGCTAAGTGAGAAAATGTGGCTTTTTTTTTGGGTCATCAATAACTCAATCCTTGGTGTAATAATCTTCAATAGGGCCACTCTCTGGCATCCTCGGCTGAGGTATGTGGAGTGCTTGATTTTTAGGAAGCACAGTGCTGAGGATGCCTGGTCATATAAATCAGTATGTAAATCTTAAAATAACCCATAAGATTAATCTCACACACATGGGGACACGAGTACCCCAGATTGGTAACCACCCATTTAAAAGATTTTGTCTCCTATGCTACATGACTTGATGAGTCGTGTTTGGTTTAGTTTTGACTTTTTGGTGCCTTGGTTTTGACTTTTTGAATAGACTTGGTTTAGGCCCAGGACAGACCCGAATGTCGTCACTTCATCTTCTGATGTGTGGTTTGGTCATCACTAATTTAAAATATTGAATATATATATATATGTAAATATGCCTGAATTGCTTAAAATCCTTAAATTATCTTAGAATTAAATAGTTACTAAAAAAAAAAGGAAGGATCAAGATAAAGTGCCATGTCTGAGAAACATGAATTTTGATAAATGCTGTTCAAGACAGAACTTACAAAAACTAATTACAAATACCATATAAAAAGCCACTACAAATCCCTACAAATAATTAAGAGATTTATATTCAGCAAAAATTAATTTCAAAATATCACACACTTTAAATCGATTAAAAGTAATGAAAATTGTTACACAAACAGAATATACTTAAGACCTTATTAATTATGATTCATATAAAAGTTTAACATAACAAAGCATGGAATATTGCATAAATATATTAATTATTTCAAGTAAAGCAAAATAATAAACAATTAAATAGTAGCTTACCATTACTTGATTCCCTAATATCCCAAACCTTGAAGTTATTTTCCTTGTTGTCCCCTCCCATGCAAAACACAAATGGAGAGTCGGAGCATGATGCAAGGCACTGGATAGTGCCAAGCCTGGGGTTAATCTCCTCAATAAAGCTTGGTTTTCCATCAGCAATATCCCATATTTTGACACTTCCATCAGCTGATACAGTAACCAAGCAACCAGGGCACTGAGGACTCATTCGTATAGCTGTGAACAAAATGCACACTTAAATCATTTATAAAACGTGATGGAGCAATATATATAGTAGTTTACTTTATTATGGACTATCATATTGTGTCTATCTATACTATCATAACTACTGTGTGAGCTTAAGCCTGCATTGAGCAGTAGTAACATCTAGACGTCTGCTGATTTTATTGGCCTATTCATAGATATTAGGCTCATTCTTGCATGTTAGTGTAAACATAGATGAATAGTTAGAATCATGATTACAAGATATTGTAGCAGAGGGAGATCGATGTGGCTGACAAATAAAAAGTAAAATTTTTTATCCATATTATTACGAATTGAGATTAATAACAAAAGATAATTAAAAATTGAAGATAATGAATCTCACCTGTGCACGCATCATTGTGTGCACTTAAAGTCCATAATGGTTTCTTTTGACGAGCATCAATACCAAAGACAGTTCCTTGATCTGTACTAGCCTGGAACATAATTTCACTGTTAATTTAATAAAATAATATGCATCATAACCATAATTTCATCATTACTTTATTAACCACTTTCTCAGGGTAGGAAAGCACTTGCATATACAGTAATGTGCATTATCATTACTGCATTTATAACTTTCATGGGGTGGGGAGGCATCAACCCAGAGAGAATAAGACGAGTAATGCCATAAAACATTATTATATATTATAATACACTAAAAATACCACATAACCATTCATTCTATCATTCACAATATAAAATAATATACAACATCAATAATTAAAAAGCACAACCCTATCAATGAATTTAAAATATGTATGATAAAAATGGTGTTGAGTGCATTCAACACACGGCACTCTGGTAGGGGCAGCTGGCAACCCCCCACTTAATGGGTTGCCAGCTTCCATTAACCAAAATTACTTACCAAACAGTTGTATGGCTCAGTAGTAACTGTCTCCCACACAACACATTCAATTTCTCCATCAAGATCCCAAGTCTTACAGGTGTCACTACTCCGGCCATCAAAAATTCTTACTTTCCTGTAAAAAAATACATCTAATAATTTCTTCCACATAAATCAAATTAATTACATTCTAGTGGGTTAATTATGCAATTGCAGTCACTTGTACTTGCCTCGTAAGTGATAGATGGTATTGGAAAATCTCAATATATCATAGACAGTATCATAATGATTCCATCTTTAAATTTAACCCCTTACTGTACTTAAAAGTTCCTCGAAGCATTTTTTTTATAACACATTCTTTATTACTGTCTTAATATGTTATAAACCAAAGCAAAAAAAAAAAACTTCATCTTTTCATTTAGTGTTAAAGATACATGTTCAAGATTTGTACATTACATAAACTAACATACTTTCACCTCTTCTTTTCTTTTTTGATATCAAGTAATAAATATATAGTCAAGACCTGCCAGAAAAATGTATAACATTTTGGCCATGATTTGACAATCAAATCTATTTATATTATAGTTCTTATTAAATATTAAAATAATTACATGTAACTAGATGTCACTTACCTATCACATGCTCCTGTAAGAAGAACGCTTGCTTCATTCGGGTGCCAGCTGAGGGACTGAACTTTGTCTGTGAATGATTTGATATGTTGAGCAACTGAGCCATGTTGAAGATCCCACAAGATTACTGTCTGGTCTACAGATCCACTTGCTAATACGTGCCTAAGGAAGAGAGAAAAATATGTGAGCATGAATGTGAATGTGTACAGAGAGTGTGTAAATGACCTAAGTGTAGTTACAGGATGAGAGCTACACTCATGGTGTCCCATCTTCCCAGTACTCTTTGTCGTATAACGTTTTGAAACTACTGACAGTTTTGGCCTCCACCACCTTGACACTTAGCGTGTTTCATCTGTCTACCACACTGTTTGCAAAAGAAAATTTTCTCATTTTTTTTGGCACCTGCTTCCTTAGTTTGAATGTGTCCTCTTGTTTGTGAAACTGTTGGTTTCAGGAATTCCCCTTTGTCAATTTGGTCAATTCCTGTTAGTTTTTTGTAACTGGTTATCATATATCGCCAACTCTTTATGACTATATAAAATAAAAATTGTGCCCTGATATAGGATAAGAGAACCAGAGAAGTAACGGCCTAAATACTAACTCGGCATGTTTATTCCAAGCGAGGCTCAGGACTGGCTGTTGATGTCCAACTCCAGGAAGTTTCTTTTTCTTCTTGCCTCTCTTACCAAGAGTGTAAGCAGGCTCCATGCAATCTACTAAATCCAAGTCCCAGACATCAATCACAGGTGACATGCTCCCAATGGCTACCAGATTACCTGAAATATTGCACAAAAAGCAAGTTTTCAAGTCTGTACATTTTAGTCATAGAATCTATAAAATAGATTTACTCATCTAACTTTCATTGAAATTCAATAGGGCAAATAAACCAGGCTAAATTAACCATTTATGCTTAACATATAAACTGAAGAGACAAAAATAATTTGATTACCAGGCTGTTGCTCTCCTCTCATTGTATCACTTCAGTAAATTGTTGTTTTAATGAGTAAATTTGAGAACAAAAGGGCAGAGTATTTTTAATTTGAACATTATGAGATATTTTTCTTTTTTTCTCCTACAAAATAGTCTAAGCTTAACAGCAATTCCAGTTGTCAAGATTCTGACAACTGGAATTGTAAGATTTACAAGCAGATACTTGAAGTAATTATCTTCATAAATTTACAATGCTACAGTGGGCCAATTGTTATCTTCTAAAAAACAAGAAATCTTACAAAAAATAATTCACCAATGCAATTGTGCCAAAACTAAATTTTTCATATTTTTTTTTTGGTCAAAAATATTTTCTAAAAATATTTGTTAATCAAATTTATTTGTTTAAAAAAGTATTAAAGGCACTAAGACTGCAATACTGCCTAAAACAATACTTTATAGTCTTCCCAATAACTGAACTAGAAAAATCATTACAGTATTTACCTTAATATTTTTTTAAGTTTCACCAGCTCATCCTCCAGTTTACATACTGTATTAGTTTTAGAACCAAGGATCCCATTCATAAAACAAATAACAAAAAAGTCTAGTGTACAAATGTTACAATTAGGCAAGGCACTTATTCTGGCTAATGACCTGTGTAGTAACAGAATTGTGGTCAAGATAATTTACAATGTTGTGGTAACCTATACTGGGGTTTAGAAAATACATTAATAAGTGGTCTAAGGCATGCAAATTGAAACTAACACATCTCAAGATAAATAAATTGGTCTAATTAACTACCAACTAATTATCCTATCTGAGATAACTGCACAAGTCAACAGAACACTTCTGGGTGAGATTAAAAAAGGTAATAAATATGATAGCCAATAGTTAAAAAATAGAGCAATAATGAAAATGGGGAGCAAAGCAGTGCGCGTCCCAAAAAGAAATGTGATGATAGGGGTACCTTTGTATTAAGGTACTCCTTTGAACTTCTGTGGCTTGCCTTCAAAAAACAGAAATTTAGGAAATCTTAAAATATACAGAAATGGTTAAGATTCCTAGCACAACTTTCATTCATCAGAAAACAAAAAATTGCATGCTTAACGAAGATGGTTAATGATATTAAGATCTAAAACTTCTTCAATTTTACTTATGTTTACTTTCTCTTTGTCCAATTAAGCTGAACTTCACTAGTACTACTAAATTTAAACTCCTTTAATACTATTATTCTTGAACTCTCTAAGTGAATCAGATTTGAAATCCTCTAATGCTATTAGGTTAGAACTTCCCAAGTTCAACTAGATTTAAACTTTCCTACTGGTATTTTGCATCTTAAATACAATGTAAAAACAATTCAAATTGTAATACTTGTAATCAAGTATGAACACCAAATGAGATACTGTACCTGGTCTGAGCTGCTCATCTCCTGGGTCATAATTGAGCCACTCCATGCACAATGGAGCAGCAGGAAGCAGAATGTCGTGATGGACATAAAAACTGCTCTCCTCGCCATTATACACTGTAAAGTAAGTAATTAATAATCAAAAGAAGGCACCAAGCTGGGGAGGCTATGTAGCTTCATCAAAAGTGCGGGATATTCAAAAGGCGCTAAATAGCACTAAGGATGCCAATATAAGAACAAAAGTGCATATCTAAACAACATCAAAGGCATCCGATTCACCAAAGACACTATCGAGGGATGGGTGACCACGAGGGACAGGTTCAATCAAAGGCATTAGAGCTAAGACGGAGCCCAGAATGGTGAAGAGCATCAAGACGACGAAGGGGTGGATGGAGAGGCAGACAAGTAAGCAGGACAGGCATAATCGTGTTCAGACAGCACGAGAGAGGAATGTAAAGAGAGGAACATGTACCCATCAGCTCCAGGAGTATGGGACAAGATATTCAGTAAGTTAAGGGTCTTAGAGCATTCAACTCGGAGATAGGAGATATAGGGTAACCAGGACAAGCGAGTGTCAAAGATTAACCCCAGAAGTTTAGCAAAATCCTCATACAAAAAACGATTATCATAATACGACAGGGGGAGGGGGGGGGGGGGTCGAAGGACAACCTGCTTCCGAGTAAAAGTCATAGCACAAGTCTTAGCCGGGAACAACTTGAAGCCATGATTGGTGGCCCAGGATGACAAAGCATCAATCGCAAGTTGAAGCCGCCACTGGAGAAAAGGCGAGTCATTACTCTGACAGCAGAGGGTAATATCGTCAACATAAAGAGTGGAGAAAATGTCAAGAGGGAATGGAGGAAAGACCATTGAGAAGAGTAGTGCTCAGAACACTACCTTGGGCACCTTCATATTGCCGTAAAGAGGCAGAGAGTGCGGTACCAAGCAGCACTCAAAAGGAACAATGAGAGAGGAAGGTCTGGGGGAAGAGAGGAAGATTACTACCATATTCTGGAAGAAAAGAAGATTACAGACCATATTCTTTCCCAAAGTTGGGACAGAATATGGTCTTGCCAGGTAGTCATACGCCTTTTCCAGGTCAAAAAGGTTAGCAACAACAGAGGTCTTCGCAGCAAAGGCAGTACGAATATAGACCTCGAAGTTCACGAGGACATCAGTCGTGCGGCGACACTTGCAAAAGCCAAAATGACAAAGGGAGAGAAGGTGCAGCATTCCAAGAACCACATCAGATGCACATTGACCATATGCTCAGAGTTTGCTGATGCAACTCGTGACAGCAAAGGGGCGGAAGTTTTTAGGGGATGACCCTAGAGAACCAGGTTTCCGAATAGGAAGAACAACCGCCTCAAGCCAGTCCTCAGGGACTGACGACGACTCCCTAACAGACTCCCAGTTATAAACATGCAATAAATACTGAAACGTGCATGGAGGGAGATGGCGAAGCATCTCATAATGAATATCATTCGAGCCTGCTGCCATAGAACCGCAGAGGGCCAAGGCAGACTGGAGTTCTGAGAGAAAGGATCATTATAAAGAAGCTGAAGGGAAGTGCAAAAATCTAAGAGAAGATTTAAGAAGGGGGTTACGAGTAGGGAAAGAAGGAGGAAGATGAGAGCCGGAGATAACAGTCGAAAAGTGAGAACCCAGTTAAGTCACGACCAACACCGGATCCGCCACAATAGAACCATGGAGGTGAAGGACTGGCGAGACATCAGAAATAAACTTACCCGCTATCTTGCGGATTTTCTTCCAGATCAGGGGCAGAGGAGTGTCAGATGTAATGGTGAAAATGAAACGTCTCCAACCCTCAAATTTAGCCATATGGATGGCCCTACAGGCCACCGCACTTGCCTTCTGAATCAAAAGACATGGGGTCCTATGGCGACGGTGCTTCTTCCAGGCTGCACGCTTACAGCCAGAGCACAGTCTACATTCCACTAGGGAACGCACTTCTGTGCACCCCTGGAGGTAGAGCAAGGCACAGAGCAGAGGGCAGCATTAAAAACTCATACAAAAGGAGGGAGAGGGAGGCTCAAGGGAGAGGCAGATCGGACAGGTCAGAAAGAGTAGCACGCAAGGTGAAGAGGTTCCAGTCAGCCCTGGCAATCTGCCACCTAGGGAAGGAGAGGGTAGGAAGAAGAGAGAAAAAGGTGACAAGGATGGGGAAATGAACACTTCTGTAGGTTATCAAGGACCCGCCAGGTGAAGTCCAAATAAAGAGAAGACGAGCAGAGAGAAAGATCAAGCCAGGAAAGGGTGCGAGTGCGTGAGTCAACATGAGTGGGCTCACCAGAATTCAGAAGACAGAAAAAGGGAGGACAAAAGATTCAAGAAAGCAGCCCCGGGTGTTTGTCAGAACACCACCCCAGAAAGTATGCTGACAGTTAAAATCACCCAAAAGGAGCACAGGCACTGGTAAGGAGTCCAACAGGTGTTTAAGATCAGGAAGAGAAAGTGGGACATGCTAGGGAAGATAAATGGAACAACTGTATACCATTTACTCACAAAGATATGGGCTGCAGAACACTGAATGGGTGACTGAAAAAGTAGGGAGACGAAGGGAATATAAAGACGGATCAAGAGAACAGTCGAGGTATGGGCCGCAGCAAGAGCTGGAGGGAAAGAGAGAAAGGAATAATCACGGAAGCGACCAGGACGAGCGCCAAGCATCGGCTCCTGGAGACAAACACAAAGCAGGGAAAACTGCACGATCAGAAGTTGGAGTTCATGGAAGTTGGCATAAAAACTGCGAATAGAGAGAACAAAAACAGATAACAAGGGAGAAACAAAGGCAAAGTAAAACACAGTAGACTAAGGAAGAACAAGATCAGGATCAGTGAAATCAGGGTGACAGGGCAAAAGCAAAGCTAGCAAAGATAACCAAGACAAGGGAGCAGGAGCATGGACCAGAGGAGAATGGACAGAGTCTGGAGCGGGAGGAGGCAATGAATGAATCGGGGGCAGGAAGGACAGAAACAGGTGAGGGCACCAGAGCAAGGGCAGCATCCAAGAGAGGAGAGGATCAAGAATCAAGGAAACCTCATAGGAGGGACAGGAGACCCCACCACTGGAAAGGAAAAGAAAGGGGAAGCAGGAATAGTGTCGGTGTCAGAAGGTGAGGAATACATCGAAGCCTTCTTACCCGCTGGGGAAGAAGGAGAGGAGCCAGGTTTACGCTCCTGACAGAGACAGGCATACCATTAGCAATATACTGGGCAACCGTCTCAACAGTTTCAACACGAGAAGGAGAACGGGAATGGGTAACATGACGAACGCTGGGAGGAGGATGGACAACGGGCCTGAACAGACAGGCGGTAAGGAGGACCAAGAGACAGAGGGGAGGGCTGAGAAGGAGTGGGGCAAGAAGGGAAGGGGGGCACAGGAGACAAGGAAGACCAGGAAAGAAGGAAGAAACACCAGACGGAGAACCAGGAGGAAGACCCTCTGGCCCAGAACGCAAAAGAGCAGACGGAGCAAACAAGGTGGTGGTGGTGATGTCGGGGTCCAAGGCCTCGAAATGGTTGCGAAACTGAGAAAGCGGGAGAGGGCGAGAAGAAGGGAACGCAGCACACAAGCATAAGACATGCCAGAGAAAGAGGGAAGATGGTAAACCTGGTGCCTAGCCTCAGGAAAAGACAAATGATCTCGATGCTTCAAATTGAGGATGACTTCCTCGAACTTGTAATCCACACATGCGATGGAGAAGGCAGGGGGGGCGCCACCACAACTGATGCAGAGAGTTTAGGAAAAAGGGCACTCCATCTTAGAATGACCCCGAGGTTCCACACAAGGGGCAGACACACCTCACTTGTGCACCTGAAGGAACCATGCTCAAATCTCCAGCAACTGCTGCAGAGGCAAGGATAGGGAATGTACTCCTGAACAGAGCATCTGGCACCAGCCAGAATGACTGAAGAGGGAAGAAACCTACTATCAAACGTGATCTTCACAACGTGAAGAGGCTGATGGCAGCAACCACAAGGGGGTCGAGTGAAGGTATCCACCTGCAGGATAGAATGGCCTTGGGCTTCAAGGATATACTTAATATCCTCGTGGCAGTCTTCAAGTTTCCTGTCACTAGTTGCAACATGGTGCAGGAGAAGAATTGTGCCCATGCAGGCATTTAACCGGGCATTTTTGGACATCCGAACACGGGCCCTAATACAGGACAATAAAGCAAAGTGGGCAGCAGTTTCCTGAGAAGGAGCCGCAATAACACATGGGTACCAGTATGGGTGGGGTTAAAGGTGACCAACGTATCCACCAAATCAACAAGGTGCTTATGGAGAAATAAATCAGGACGAGTAGGGTCAACATGAAGATCAAAATATTATGTCCATGTGGCAGGACTAAACAAAGCCTGGAAAGAAGGAAATTGGGAAGGAATCAAGCGCGAGCAAGTGTGGAAGTGATTATGCTGAGCACCCCCAGTAAGAGAGGGGGGGTAAAAGGTGCAGTTGTGACAACTAGAGACAGAGCCACACCATGTGATGAGGTCATTACCACTTAGGGCTTGGGGCTCAACCCCGCCACAGAGGTAGGAAGGGAGCAGAGAGGAGCAGTCAGAAGAGTCCGAGAAGGAACATGGTCAGGGCCCAATGTAGGAGGGGGGGGGGGGGCTACAGAGCCAGTTTTTCCAGCACAGTCCGACTCGGGGGACCTGGTCATCTACCCCATGAGTGAGATGGTAAAGGAGGGTCAGAAAAGGCATAAAAATAAACAAAAACAAAATTCATCCATGAATAAGCCCCCATACCCACCATGGAGCCACAATTAGAGGACAGGATACCTCACAAGATGGGGCCCCCTCAGGGGTGCATCGTAGGTATACGAAATGCAATCACCACCTTAAGAACCATCAGTCCATCGAGATCGGGTTCACCAACGAGGGCAAAGATTGACAATAAAAGCTTCCCCTCGCTCAAAACGTCGGGTACCATAGTTCTAGAGGTGAGAGTGCGCGCCTCCCCAAACACCCGGCATCAAAACAGAAGATGACATCAGAAAGAATAATAATAAAAAAGGCAAAAAGTCGGCAGGAAGCGACAACTGGAAGGAGAAGAGGGGGAAGGAAAAAAGAAACATAAGGAAAAGAA